GCACGCTGTCCCGTGCCCCCCCCCACCCCCCCGCTCTGCCTGCCTACGCCTCCTCTTTCAATGAATCTCCAGGAATTAAGACCCTGCAAGGGGGTCGGTTCAATAACGCCATGACACAGGAGCGGGTGGTCCTGGAGCAGAGCTCTGCAGTCCTGCCCCCCGCCCCAGCTCCGCTTGCTTTTCTGTTGTCCACTCCATCAGTCTCCGTATCCTCTCTAAGGGATAAAACTTACTGCAAATCACCCTTTGGGGGGGAGCCCATACTAAAATGGCAGCGTGTCCCATCCTCTGGCACTGGAAGGTGCCTGCAGAGCCCACCCCATGGTCTCCCTGGGGGGCAGAGCCACCTTCTTCAGCAAAGGTGACCAGGAGGAAGGAGGAGGCTGCTCTCGCCTTGGTGGGGATGCCCAGGTAACGTTGCTCGGTGGAGGGTTTGCAGGGGCTCCCCACACGTGTCCCCCCCCAGCAGCCTGGGGGGGGGGGGGGGGGCCCTTAACTCATCTGCCCCCCCGGTCCTGCAACAGCACAACGGAGCTGTTGGGGAAGAACAACCATCTACTTGCTGACTTGCTATATTTTAGCAAAAACAAAACCAAAAAAAAGTGTATTAACTGAAAAAAAAAATATATATATTTCAAGCGTTAAGAAAAGACTATGAAAGGGGAGAAAATCTCTTGTGTGCAGCACTGCTGCAAACGTCATCTTAAACTTTTGTTTTTCCTCTAGTTGATATCTCAAGCTGGGCCAAGCAAGACACACCGCTTTCTCCTTTGTAACCTGATTATTTTTTTCTTTTTGGAAGAAAAAAAGAAAATAATACAATTAAAAAAACCCTTCATCCAGATCTATTAAAATGGCCTTTTGGGGGTTATAAGCATTATGAAAAATTTAGTCCATTTTTGTATAAATAATAGTGTTTAATATGTATTTCCCAAAATAAATGTTTCGAATGCAAATAGAAGGAGGTTTGTTCGGAAGTGTCTGTTCCCAGCCATGATGGGGTCATTGCTGTGTGGACCCTGTGGGGCTGAGGGTGATGGGACAGTCCAGCTTCAGAGCTGCTGTGCTCTGCCCACTTTGGGGGGGAAGGTTTTATTTATTCCTAACCCCCTTAACTCTTCCTACTGCAGGTATCTGCCCTGGGTACTCTACAAAATGCTAGAGCTGCTGGTGCTGAGAGCCCTGGGGCCAGGCCAGCACAGGCTCTGTGTCCTTGCAAATCCCGAGGGAGGCAGGTTCGCCTCTCCCTCTGCTCAAAAAGGTGAAGCTGTTTCCCCTGCACTTGCTGGTATTTTTATTAAGAAGTGGGTAGCACCCAGTTCAAGGGCAGGCAGCAGCTTGCCTTTCAGGCAAATGTGGCTTTGATTTTACAAGCCCAGGGTCTCCAGAACCTTTTGCAACTGCAGGGTTGCCCTTGGAAGTTGGCATCACTTTGAGGACTCGCCTTCCTGAAAACAACGTTTCTCCCTGGTGTTGCAGACAAGGCACCATCCACTCTGGTGTTTTAATCCATATCTTACATGTCCATTGTATTTTCCCCCCCAATACAGTTAAACTCAAAGCCATCTGGATATGGTCCTGGGCAATGAGCTGTAGGTGACCCTGCTCGAGCAGGGGGTTGGACCAGATGACCTTGAGGGCTCCCTTCCAACCTCAACCCCTCTGGGATTCAGTGGTTCTGGAATTGTATGAAAACAAAACCAACAGGACAGAAGTCAGGTTGGGTTCCTGTGGGTGTGTAGAGTACAGGGCACTTTTATGTACAGTTTTCTTCTGCTTTTCTGCTGGCACCTGGGTTTTGGAGCAGTGAATCAGCTTGTCTCATATGGCATCCAGTGAGGTGTGTGAGGTCAATTTTGTTGATGGGACCCCTTTGCCCCAATGCTAAACCCATCCCTAGGAACACCCTTTTTTTTTTTTTTTCAACTGCAATACTGCAGTTTCATGGTTGTTTTAGCTCAGACACTGCTCATGCCCGTGGCTCTTCTCTACCAAATGAGTCTATGGGGGAGAAGCAGGGAGCTTAAGGTGTTCTCACTATTGTAACCAGAGAAAGACACAGATCAAAACCTCTTGGGGGGAAAAATCAACACATAGTTGTAGTAATTACAACCATGGACCATTGGCTTTGCTCCTGGACAAGTCTGCAGCAGCTTTTCCCCATATATTGTTTTTTTTCTTGTGCTGGTGTCTGGTTTTTGCAGCTTTCCTCAATGCCGGCACCTGACCGTGCCCATGGAGGGAGATGGGGCAGAGGATGCTGCCAGGCTCTCCAGGCAGATGCTCTCCTGGTGACAGATTGAGAAACGGTTTGTGGCTGGGGCAAGGGGAAGGCAGGCAAAATTCCCAAGCTCAGCAATAAGGGTGGCTTTTGTTTAGCCCAGAGGAGGAGCTCGGTGGGCCGGAGGTCCGTTGACAGGAATGGCGTGGGGAATGGCTTCCAGATGTTATGAAGCTCCGGAGAGGTGGGGTTGGCAAAGGGAGAACAGCAACACCAGATGCTCTGATGGAGCAGGGGTTTGTGTGGTGATATGGGAAAAATCCCAGCTGGGGGAAGGGTTTGCCATCGCCAAATCCCCCTCCCTGCCCTCCCCGGAGCCTCGGCTGTAGGGCAGGAGAAACCTGGGAGGGGGTGGATGAGGAGGGTTTGGGCAGAGGAAGTGGCAGGCAAGGGGCTGCTTCCCCTGCCCGCACCCTGCCCAGCTGTCTGGAGGGAAATTTGCCTAATGATGCGGGAGCTGACAGAGAGGGCCTTGCACTAATGGCTTGTTGAGTGGCCTCACTTTAACAAATGAGGGAAATGAAGATGAGTGAGAGTTTAATTACCGATCCGAGCAGGGCTTTCCACGGCGATGACGGGTGCTTGCTCCCCTTTGCCTGGCTGTGGGTGGGAGAGGAGGACCCCTCCCAGCACCGCCGGGCTCTTGGGGTGCCTGGCAGCACTGGAGGAGCCCTCTGCTTGGCAGGGCTGGGCTGGAGGTGGGCTCTGGTTCCACCTGACCAGCGCGACCCAGAGAGCTTCACCATCCAAAGAGGTTGACTATAAATAATAAGAATAAAAGGGAGTATAAATAATTAAAGCAGCTCATTGTGAGTAGTTCCTGAAACGTCTGCCTGATTTAAAAACTAATTACTTGGAGGGTAATCACCACCAGAAGTGCATATATTTACCCACAATGCTGCTCTTCCCTCCTCTTCCTTTTGCTCGCCCTCTCCTGATTGCTATCCCAGGCATTGGCGCCCAGACTTATCACTCATCCGCA